AGCTGATATCAAATATTTCCTTTTTTCCAAGAGGCACCCTAAACAGTCCCTAGGCACGTAAACAAGCCCTCAGAACAGGTGTGGGCACACACAGGGCCTAGGTCTGTTGTTATTCAAACTAGGAGATATTCTCCACCAAGGCCAAGTCATCCAGTGGTAACCACCTGACATCTAGAAGACAATGTGTGAGATTCGAACTCCTGGGATAGATTTTGAGGCCTGTATCTGAAATACCATAACTGATATTTTTTGGGCCCTGACAACTTATGTAGTATGATATTATCTCTCATGACAAGCCAGTTGAATATATCATCACATATGGGGAGGTCTTCCCTGGTGGGTCAGCATCACAGTATCAGATAACCAACACTTGGGTGTAGTGGGAATCTAGTAGTCATTGTATCTAGGGTAAACATTAGGATGTAAAGGTTGTTTTTCACTGTATCTAGGGTCACAGTAGAATGCATTAGTATCTGGGGTGACATTAGAATGAGTAGTTTTAATAGTACCTAGGGTAAACATTAGAGTTAATTGTTTTATAGAAGTACTTTGGCCTTGAAGAATCATTGTGGAAACCAGTAAAGAACCTCTGTGGAAAACAGTGATTGTTTTCCATATTTTGTAGAATTGCTTTTCTGAAGGGGCATTGAAGCCTTTGCATGACTTTGGTTACAAGACACCTCTGGCACATCTGAGGCTTCTGGATTATTGTGCATTGCAAATGACACATAACAAAGGACTAAAGTCATGAGGGCATGCGATGCTCTCCTTTAGTGAGACATATAAATTATATTAGGGACCTTAGTTTGAGAAAAATCAACTTTGTGTAACAATCAATAAATACGCCTCTGTGTGGCTGTTCAGGGCTCAGTCCGTCAGAGGCTGGACTTTCCTACTGCCACACGGGCCTTAAAATTTCATCTTGGAGTGAATTCTTTCTTCAAATGAAGGGACCAGCTCCCCATTTCGGCAGCCATGACAGCTGAAAACATGCTTGTCTGACCTTGTCTTAGTCACTAAGGTCAGATGCCTGCCCCTTTCGGCAGCCCTAACAGCTGAAAACGTGCTTGTCTGACCTTGCCTTAGTCATTAAGAGGTCAGATGCCTGCCTTGTGGCAAGGAACCAATCAGAAGTTAGCTGGTGGCGCTATGCTTTACGACCCTGGGTGTACTTTGCGGACAAGCACACAGCAATGACGCACTGAGCATAGCAACCACCCTGGGAGGGCCTATGGGCCATAACAACCAGTTGACCAATCAACACAGGGCAAGCCCTCCAAGCCTGGAGGCACACCAATCGTGA